TTGGGATTAAAATCAGGCTAGAATGGTTATATCAAACAGTATAATTCTTGGTATCAGACAGGCTAATTCCTAGTCAAGTTCGATAACATCATCTAGATTTTAGTCAAATCGCGCTAGAGGATTAAATTCAATAATTTGATTCATATAGCTAGAATTGATTTGTAGGCGGTCAGGAATCTTTTTTTGAGTACTATTTCGATTTTATCCTAGAACTCCCATTTTTGCCCTACTCATATTCCAGTAGATTCACCTTTTTATAGAATTAGAATAGACTTAGTTGGGCCTTTACCATGAACTAGTAGAGAAAATAAATATATTATAGTCATAATTAATATGCTCACTAAATGATCAGAAGCTAGAGCAGTAAAAGATGCAACTACTAAAATTGTTATCAAATATTTATATGAACATATTATTTATTGACATGAATATTCTACAAAGATCTTATCTAATAGAGGATCTCATTTTAACAATTAACTAATTACATAATTAATGGATCAATTTCATATCCGCCATAATTTATCAACTTCCTACCATCCTAGGATGAATGTATTAGTAGAAAAATTCAATAGAACTTTATGTGAATCTTTGGTCAAATTAGTAGAAAAGTTTACTCAATAAGACCAATATATTTCACCAGTATTATTTGTTTATGATACAAGTAAAGCAATCATCCACAAAAATTAAACCTTTTTATTTAATGTATGAACGAAATGCAACGTTATCAATTGATAAATTTGAAGATCCAAATGATATTTATACTAATTAAGATTTTTCTTTATAAAATCAAATTAATCATCTGATTAACAAATTGCCCTTAATATAATAGGAAGCAAAAATACAAGTACAACTTGCATAACAAAAACAAAAGAAATATAATGACAAAAATACAAGGATCTCTGCTACATATAATATTAGAGATAAGGTTTTATACTTCAAAGTTGTTAAGAACAAATCACATTCAGGAAAATTAGACTAAAAATGGAAAAGACTTTATTACATTTATTAGTTGTTATTAAATAGGTCATACAAGTTAAGAGAAATAAATGATCGTGTATTCTATATCCTAATAAATAGAGATTTTTTGAAAATATATAAGGAACCTCTATTTCAAAATACACTTTAAATTTTTATTTTTTTTACAAATTATCTATCAATAGAACAACTAATCATCAAAGACTTAAAAGCAACTTTATTTTTAGAAATAATATCTGCTTTTCCTCTTATTCAACTGAATTGGATTTATAAAAAAAAATCCTAGCAACATATCGAATGCTATTAAAATCAACAAAATTAAAAAATCGAATCTTTACCCTAACTAATGCTTACTACTTATGACAATTACTTGAAATTGAAACAATTACTTCATCTCAAAGAATTCAATTAAGAAGAATTCTCACAAAATATTATAGTCAAGTATTCATTCTGATATACTACATGTTTGAAAACTTAGAAGTAGATTAAATCCAATAAACTAAAAATGTGACTTTAAAAGATATTTATCATTTATCAAGTAAATCCTACTGATCTATAGTTGATAAAGCTATCAATATTTATGCAGGACCTCAAAATTTAGAAGGGAAAGATTAAAAGCATGATTTATGCTATGCTGATCAAATATAGCCAATCATATGATTTGAATTAATTAGCTGATCTGACCAATATGACAAATCAGACAAATCTAATAAATATGACAAATTAGTCATATTTGACCGATCTATCAGATTTATTATATTTGTTATATTTATCATATTTATAATATTTTATTTGCTATTATTTATTTTGTATAAATACTCTATATCTTTGACCTGCTAAATAGAAGAGTCGCTATGATTCTCTAAATAAATCAATACTTTATTTCTAAAACTTATTTCTGCTTGTTAAACAATTTATTCTTCTTTAAATCTATATCAATAAAGATGACCTGATCTTTCAATTTAATTAATTCGTGTTTATTTCTTTTATAGTTTAGATATACTTAAACTTCCTGCTAGCAAATAATCTTTGTTAACTTAACGATGAACAGTTTAAGCTTAACACTGTTATTTGTAGATTTGAGGATCGTGATTAACAAATATCTTTAATCATTGAAAGGCCTCTTTTTATTCTATAGGAATACTGTTTTTTTTAATTCTCTTTTTTAGTGAAAAAGTTCCTCTTTACTACATGAGAAATCAAACTATGTTGTATGCAAGCAAAAAATAAATTGTGTTCAAATTATATAAAAGGCTTAGCATCAAATTCGATAAGGCATAATGGGATTGCAAATAATTTCTTCAGTTGATGTGAGAAATCAGACTGGATCACTGTCGTTAATTTGTATATTCTTTTTGAATGCATGTAAAAATAATTATAGTAAAAATCAATTATGATACAGGAATTTCTTTTTTTTTACTTAATAATCCATTATTTTTCATGTAGCAAGCTGTGAATTAAGAAATGTAGCATTGATATTATTATTTTTAGATGATATTATTGCAATTTTTATTTTTAGTTTGGTTATATTATATTTATTTAAATTTATACGTTCTGTCCAGATTGATTTATTTAAATTGTCATTTGGTATTTTTATTTTTATATATTAAGCAAATCAGCATATACAAAATAGTTAGAAAAAATTCAACATATAAAAATAAAAAAAGAAAGTTTTGATAATTATCTTGGTTATGTAATTGATTTATGATCAATTCAATAATAACAGTTCCAATGATCATTCTTTGATTGGTTCTCTAAATAGAGTTTTAAATAATTATTAAAAGTTCTATTAATAATAATAATAATATATACCTTGTTCCTTTTTTTTTCATATTTGAAGTGTTCATTAATACTTTTCAAACAAAGTTGTGATGATTTTGAAGATAAGAAAGATTGTTATGTTGTGAAAGTGTTATTTTTGTGATTGATTTTTGTGTATTTGAAGAAGGTGTATAGAATTTCAAATGAAGTAGATGTAGTTCTTTTTCAAGATTCTTTATTTGTTCAGTATAAACATCGATTCACTTTATAAATTATTTGTTTATATTAAGATTTATTTAATTCATCATAATCTTTTATCCGGCTTCTTTTATAAATTCTTAAAAATTTTGAATTTTTTCTTGCAAGTCACTGATCTCCTCTTCTAGTTTTTTCGTTGTCCTAAATGAATGTTATTATAGCTATGCGAGAATTTTGAAGATTTATCCATTTTGGAAAATTTAAATGAAAAAAATAACAAAATTAAAATTGCGATGAAAGAACTAAAACGAATATTTTTATTATTATTTGGCTATTAAAATTACTTAAATCACGTTACGACTGTCCTGATAGATGATCATCCATATATTTCCATAATCAGTGTATCTTATGAAGATCTTTGAATCCCACAATTTCAAATTTTTTCACTTTTTTAATATAAATAAGGATAGAATTCATTTGTCCATCACTCAGTTTTATACTCCCTCTTGTGGAGGGGGGCGATGGTTATAGGTAGACTCTTTCACCATGTCTTCGGATAGGTAGACGGATTCACCATGTAGTCTAGTCTTCCTTTATGAGTGTGTAAACTTATAAATTATAGCGGGTGGTGTGATTAGAGGGATTTTTGAGATTAAACATAATAAACAAAAAAAATTTATTTTTTATCAAATCAGTTCTTATCATGCATTTTGTTAACGATACTATACTTTTGCTCAATCAGTAACTGCGCATATTAATTTCTAATTTTAACTAAGGAATTTTTCGACGAAACGAAATTATAAAAAGGATCAATCAAAAAAACCACACCGAGACAGACAAAACCTAACGGATTTAGTAAAGCGACTTGGTTTCTATCAACCAGTTGCAGGAGAATTAAATTTTTTTTTTAAAAAATAAAAAAAAAAATAATAAAATTCTGCTTATATGGATTCTAACTCGTTACCGCGACTAAAAATCTCACCAAAAACGTTATTAAAATCCGTAGTAACTCGTTGCAATAAATTATTTTTTATCTTTTTTTAATAAAATAACACTTACACCAACTGATGTTGCAATATAGACTTTTGAGAAATTGCTTATTAAATATCTGGTACATGACGCAGTAAATTCAAGTAGTAAAATTTATATTATGCAAAATAATAAATGACGAATAATAAGGTTGATGAAAATTTGCTCGAAACGTATTTTCATATACTCCAAAAGTGAAAATTGATCAACCAAAGAGTGAACTTTAAATTTTAATTCTCATAATTTAATGTTTTCTTTTATACTAATACTTACTTGAATTATTTCAAAATACTCCTATCTATTATATTAGAAACAATTTCAAGAATTAGCGAGAAAGAATGTAACACGAATTATGTATAAAAAATTGATCGACATGCATGCATATCTAGCAATGAGAATCGAGAATGTTCTAAAGTTTTTTTTTTCCGAACTCTCCTCTCAACGTATTTAACATTAATGACAAAACAAGCTATCATCATCATTCTTGCTAATAGGATTACACGATGGACGTAATCTTTTAAAATTTAATTCAGACGAGCTTATAGTGACTTAAACAGGTGGTTTATTACATTTCTTTATAACTTTACTGTTTTCGTATGGAATCACTTATTCTTGCATAATACAATTTTTTCAAATATAAAGGAAAAAGGAAAGGCCTGGGTGGAGATAAAAACTTCGTAATTCGAGCAAATTTTCCATGTTGATTATTTTATTTGAAGTTCACATTATAATAAAGGGGAAAACGGGTATGTTGTAAACTTTGGAATACTGTTTTTTCTGTTATTTATATTTAAAATTTGCCGATAATTCAAAATATCAAATTTCCATAGGGAGATTGGAATCGGGTTTTGCACAAAATCAGCTAGCCTAAATAAAATGCCAGGTAATTTTACTCTTCTGTTTGTCAACTTAATTTGTTAAATAAAATTGTTTATTGAATTATTTATATTGTAGGCTGGGAAAATAGCTCGAGGGGTTATCGTGGTGATGATGGACAAATGTTTTTTAACACTGTTGGCAAACCAAATGGCCCAAAATTTATGACTGGTGATACTATCGGATGTTGTTAAAACATTAGAAATGTACGCTATTTTATACAAAAAATGGAGTGAATTTAGGTAGCTATTATCATATTACAAATGCTTGGTTATTTTAAGTTAAATAATAGAGACTTAATATCTATTGTATATTTTAAGGAATTGCATTCCGAGATTTGAAAAATGCCTTTTATCCTTGTATTGGAATGTTGTCGCCAGGTGGATCTGTAGGAGCAAACTTTGGTTATATAAAGTTCAAATATACAGGATCGATATTATTGGATCACAAGATGTGCTTGGTGTTGAATGTTTGAAGGGTTCGGGATAAATCACTTGGATAACATCGCGACCATTACAATAACGTTAGTTACAAGGCGTTCAATTGGTATGTATTCATTGCAAGTCTAATTTTTAAAAAAATTCCTTTAATCTTTTTATTATATTTATTAAGGTATTGGAGCTTACTTAGTAAGGTTGAGACAGCGTACAATTCAAAATGAGGTTCAACTCAATATTAACCTGAGCATCATCATTGAATAAAGTGTTGGGAAGAGAAGTTTATACAGAAATCTACAACTTGGAGGCACGCAAATTATGTTTAAGAATAGAGTACTGCACAAAATGATTTGAAGGGTATTACAAAGATTATGCGATAGCTTTCTTACGTTCCTGCCGTTCGAAATTATCCTGTTAATATTTATGAATTCAGATTCTTTGGAAGTGATTTTAGTTATATGCCTCCCAAAGGGCTTTACGATCCATGATGGTGTGGGCAAATATGAGATTGAGAGAAATCCCAACAGTTGGGTTAGTGGATTCTTTGATAAAGGTTCCTTTGCTGAAACTTTAAGTATATGGGCGAAGTTGGACGAGCATGTCTTGGTGGAATTCCAATGGATGTTTTAGCGGTTGAAACTCGTACTGTCTAAAGTATAATTCCAGTTTATCCGACTAATGCAGATTCTCATCAGAGTTGATGATGGAAAGCCGGACAGGTTGGTACCCTAATTCAGCTTATACGACTGCTCAAGCGGTTAATGATTTTAACCCTTAAGGATTTTTGTTAATTGGCGTGGATTTTCAGGTGGTCAAAGGGACATGTTTAAAGAGATTCTAAAATATGTTTCTTATATCGTGGATCAATTACCAACTACAAGCAGCCTGTATTTGTTTATATTGTTCCTATGGTGAACTTCGTGGTGGTGCTTGGATTGTATGATGGAAATGTACGACGATGCAAAATCAAGAGCTGGTGTACTTGAACCCGAAGGGATTGTAGAAATCAAATTGAGAAAGCCACAATTTCTCGCAACAATAGAAATAGATTAAATGTACCGTAATCTTAAGAAATCATTAAATGATCCGCCAATATCTGAATCGCAAGGATGAGAAATTAAATTACAGTTGGATGCAAGGGAACACTCCTCACACAGGTTCTACTCCTACTACCATTCTTACTACTCCTATTACCGTTCCTATCCTACTACCGTTCCTACTACTCCTATTACTGGCTCTACTGATCCAGGCTTTATTACTGCGTTAAGATCAGAAAGATTATCATCCTCTAAAACGCAACGGATCACCAACAGTATCAAAAAAGCATCGATCAGGGACATAAACAAAGACATGAAATTGAAGAAACCATCGAACACAAAAAAGTCCAGAATTAGAAATAATAGAAATCGATCAGTAGACTAACAACATGAATTGGTTAATAGGGGTGGATCAAAGGAAACTGAAGATGAATGGCTGATGATGATTCGTTTTAAATTAATAACAATAGCTTATTTTTAATTTAATACAAGTTCATAAAAATTAATATTAATAGCATTACAAATAGTAAGAATAGTTATGAAGAACCCGCTTAACTGATTGAATGAATTACTATTTTAGTCTTTATCGTTATATAGTTAGAATTTCAAACGTTATCAAACAAACCGAAGATGCCCATACTAAAAATATCAATGAACAGTGATTAGATTTAATTCAATTATACCTAAAAAAAATTCGACTCAAAATGAACAGAAGACGACTTTCCGCTCGAATTTTTAAGTCAAGCCCTACACCGATTGTTATTGCCTATAAAAAATAATTAACTTCTACTATAATTTCAACATGTGCGCGTTTAATTTATTGTCATTTTATATGAATTATTCAAATAAATGCCTATTTAGTTGAAAATTTGCTTTTCTAAAAAAGGAAATAAACTTCTTTAGTATTTTCAATGAATCTTGTTATTAAATTTTCTTAAAGTTGGCATAAATCTTTAGTATTATTTAAATGTTAATAAAGCAGAAATGCTCGAATTTATAAATTCCAGAACTTTTAACAGTAAAATGCCTCCTGTTTAAAGGCGTGCACGCAACTTGAGAAAGTAAAAATAAAAGGATTTATATGAGTTTTAAATAAACAATGTGATGTCAAAATAATCTCAGAATTATTATGGTAATTTTAATAATCGTATTATTTTTTATTAAATTATTTATCGAATGTTCGTTATGAAATATGAACAAACTACCGGGCTTACATTTATAGTAAAATAATAGTCAATACAGCTGGTCTTTATGAATTTCATAAAGCTGGTCAGATCCATGGACATATACACGGAGTGAAGCACGTAATTAAACAATGAAACAGATTCAATAGACACTAGAATCGCAGATTTTTGGCTTGCACGGTCCGTTTGATAAACCATCACAACAAATTGATGGGATGATATTTTAATGGGAATAATCCAACAAAAGAATCTTATATTTACAGTTTCGAATTATCATATGGAGGTTATGCGCCTCAATTATGAAATACCTCATGATTTGAAACTCAAGAAATGTATGTAATTTGGAATATTCTATTTCATCGCAGAATATTTGTATTTAATTTGTATGTAGTGTAAATTCGAAATTTGAAAAAAAAAATATCAGGTTTTTTATGCGTTACGCGAGAAATCGTGAGCCAATAATATGATACATATTTTAACCTGCAACGGGATGTGCTCAAGAATGATAATATTTTATCTTTGTGAAATATTTTTTTTTAAAAAAGGAATTAGTCAATAATTTACCCGAAAAAATTCCTGTGCACTTTATCGTTACAGATAATTAGAATAATTTATTACAATATTGATTTAAGAAAGTAAATTTAAAAGATAGTTTTTTGCATTGTTCTTAAAATAACATTCGAAAATTCTAACTCTTTAATCATTTCAGTTTTAATATTGTCTAGAGGCGCACTAGATTTGTCTGCACGTTGTGTTGTCACTTGCGTTGTGCTAATAATATCTGTTTACAAAAAAAAGGTCCAAGGAATTTAAGAATTAATTTTATTTGTTTTCATTTATTATGAAAACATTTATTCAATGACTACATCATGGAAATTTCTTACATTTGCCTTTTCATCAATATATCTTATTTAGTTTATGATTATGATTTGAATTTTATTTGATAAATGTGCTCGAAAAAAAAGAATTGATTGTTAAAAGTGATAATCGGTTTCTAATTAAGAGTCAAGTGCAATTCACAAATAATAATACAAATAATACAGTTACTTTTTTTCATTAAATTAAATCATAAAAATAACAATTCACATTTTTTTATCGAATCGAATTCATGAAATAATAAAATATGCAATAAAACATGTCAATTCCCTCGGAAAAATTATATTTTGTTTATTAATGCGGGGTAATTCCTAAAAAGGATTGGATTGCCTCATTTACTCATAAAGAAAACGATGATCCACCTTTGTGCTCGTAAATATTAATGTTTTGTTTCAATTAAAAATATTTTTTATTGTTTCCGACACGAAAAATTATTATTGAATAATTTATTTTTTTTTATTTTTTCCTTTTCGAATTCATCATCATACGTAATATTTACTTTATCACTTTCTATTAAAGGATAAATTTTTTTTTTTTAGGGTCACTTTTTTGAACATACTGAAAGTCAATTTATATAAGTTTTATATATAATTTATTTTTTTTAAAAATAAAACGTATACATGCTTGAAAAAACTTAGAATAAAATAAAATTAAAAATAAAGAACATGTTTGAAGAAAAAATAAATGCCCTAAAATTCAAGACAAAATTGACATCCCTTTTTTATATATATATATATATACAAGTTTCATCGTGCTCATCGTGCTGGAAAACTTATTTTCTCTCAGTAAGAAATTAACAATACATAAATCCCTTAAAGTAAACTTTTTTGAATCAGAAACATAATACCGTACAAGTTTCTTATAAAAGAAAAGAAAAATGACAAATAAAAGTTCTATTCGTCGTCAGCAAGCTCAAAAAACAGCGGCAGTTACTTCTACAAATAATGCCACCTCTTCTTCTTTATTATCTCTACCAACGAATGAAGAGAAATTATATGTATCCAAAATGTTAAATGAATTAAAAATATCCGTAAAAGATCAAGATAAATTGAATTTATTAAATGCAGATAATGAAAGTCCGGCTATTAAAACTTTGTATACTAAAATCAAAAAAGAATTTTCGGAAAATAAAACAGTTCTGAAGATACCGGAATTGCTGGCACCTGCAAATAATTCAAGGTCGCAAGGAACACCACGACCTCAAAACGCGTATATATTATTTCGAAAGGATGTATCGAAAGGGTTGTACACGCTAAAGCGGATGAACAGAAGTGTAAATTACTCTTCAAAAATTGCTAGTTATTTATGGCAGATAATGAAATCTTCGCAACAAGAATATGAGTTTTGGATGACTTTATACAAGATTGTCAGTATAAAACATTCTGAAACTTATGAAGGATATGTATATCGTCCAATTAGAAGAAAGCGAAATGAATTTATCAGTTCAACTCTGACATCTTTAGAAGCTTCTTCTACAACAAATCGATCATCTTATATCGTAACAAATGAAAGTGCAGATCAAGGGACGTTAATCAATCAACATCCGATTACACAAATAGCTGAAGAACAACCGAATACCGTGGATCCAATACGATTTCAAGGGATGACAACAATTTTACCAAGCATCCATACAAATGCTCCCGGGATAATGACGACACATCAAAATAGTACGGCGCAATTCGAATTCGCGTCTCCCGCGCCACAATACGTGGAAACCACGGTATTGCATTCTACATACGCCGTGAATTCTCAACAAACGCAATTTGTTAGTCCTTCAGAATTGACAATATCACAACTGGATAACTATTTCACGGGACTATCACAGCAATATTACCAACAACTTGCAAATACGTACAGCAACATGTCTGCGAACTCCTTCGCCTACGCAACTTCAATTTCAAATCAGCAGAAATATTACATCCAATATTCTGCTGGTGATACTACCCATTTCAGTTTTCCAACATACGAAGATTTGGTTTTTCTAAGGCGATTAGAACAAGATGGTTCGAGAAGTCAAATGATCGATCCGTTCTTATTACACCAGTCTTTTTCGTACGACTATGGCGATCCTAATCAACAATTGTAATGTAATATTCAAATTTTAATTGTACTTTCTAGTGAAATTAAAATTAAAAAAACAAATTCTTCCAAAGAGCGGCTTAAAATTATTTATATAATAAACGTAAATCTCCTTATATATTACAACTTCCTGCAGAATAGTGTCTTTCGTTAGGACATTTATATATACGTCATCGTGACTTATTATAAAAGAATTAACGGATCTTTATTTTACATCCCAACAATAGCGCAAGTCTGAATAACTTAACCCTAATCGGAATTTAATGAGCATATCGAAAATTACTATTATCCAAATCTTTCCTCTAGTCATCAAGAAAATTTTAAAAATAACTTTATTAAATATTACGGCAAAATAAAATATAACATGTTTAGCATTATAGAAGCCAATGGATATCTCAAAGATATACTATCCTATTGTCATAGACGTGCTTTATAAATGATTCATTTTTTTTCTTGGACATAATGAATAAATTTAAATAAAGATCAAATAAATTTTACTTACTTCGGAGATATAATATCAAAACCCTAAATAAAAAATACATCAATTTGAAGTCATTATTTTTGATACTTAATATATTACTATTTATAAATTAAATAATAAATTTAATTATAATTAAAATTTTTATACTATATTTAATATTTTAAAAAAAAATCTCTAAAAACCCTTATAATAAAATTATATTATTATATGTACTGTACCTTATAAATGATAATATTCAGATGTTCTGTTTTAATAGAATTATAATTAAGTGATATTTTAACATAACTAATTACAACGTATGCTTATTTAGCTGCACATATTTTAACTTTATATTTTTCTAAAACAAAAGCATTGAATATATTTAGTATTTATTGTAATGATAATAAAACTTTATAGTATTTCTAATATAATAATAATAATAATAAGAAATTAATGATTAATGTTATTGAGTGAAAAATTGGTGGTGATCATTACTAAATTTACTAACTATTTCGCTTAATTGGGATGTGTGTCATACAGATCGACATGAATTAATTAATAAATGTTTCGAATTAGGGAATTTGTGACACGAACAATTTATCTGCGTTGTATAATATATATATATCATATTCAATATGCATATATATACGAGGTATATATATCAGTAATGGGAAATTGAACAATTTGATATTTTGGACAATTATCCAAAACTGTGTCTAAAATATGTCTAAAACCAAAACTTATTTTAATTGGACAAGTTTTGGACAATTATTTATGTAATGATTAAATCCAATAAATATTATTTTTAATATATTAAATATAAAATTTTATTAAATCATTGTTAAAGTATCTTCAAAATTGCATCTGAAAGTTATTTACACTTTTGAAACATGGAATCTCAAGAAATTATAAAAAGAAATATTCTATTAAGAATAAATAAATACAATTATCAAAAATCAGGGATACTATAAAGCATTACATATAAAAAGGATAATGATTATCCTAAAAAAAATCACTTCCAGAAAATCTAAAGACAAGAAAGGGTAGAAAATGTTAATAATTTGCTTAATTCAAAAAAAAAGTTCAACAATCTCTTTTCCATTCATATAACTTATCTTTGATCCAATTGATGAGGTTTTTCGCATCGGTAGGAACTCTGGGTATTGCTGAACTAATAATATTTTCAAATTCCTATTCATCATCTTCAACATAAAATTGATTAGTTATGATACGTTGGAATTTTGAATTGTCATTCAGATAAAACTGTATAATAGCTATTAATAAAAATTGTAATGTAAGTAAATGGTTTTTAAATAGTCAAAATAAAAATAACAATAACAACACTTACATTTACGTTACAAATACGTAAAGCATTATTGATATCTTCCCCCATAAGTCTGATTCGTTTTGAATGATGCATCAATTTATTCGCTTCTTGTTCGAAGCATATTTCCGTAATAGTTTAAGTTTATAATTTTTTGCAGAACACTTGGCAATTTGAAAAATGCAAACCACCTGTATTATCTCGTCCACATTATGTGCTAACGCAGCAGCTACTGTGCCTTTAAAGTTTGTAACTCCAACATCTCTTACAAAAATTATAACCTATTTTTTCCTGACAAACCTTACATTTTTCAAACAAGCTTACTATTTGTTGTTAATGGTTTGAGCATAGTCCTAGTTGGTTCGATTCTAATGAACAACCTAAAAAAAAAGGCATTAGTATAATTTCCTAATGCTATCAGAACCTTTAACACTACTTATTAACCGTTAAGTCCAAGAAGAATCATCCAAGAACGTCCAAGAGTGTCCAAAGGATCTAAATAAAAGAAGACATTAGAGTTGTTTATTAACGTCATTAACATCACTTACTCATTCAAAGAAACTTACCAGTTCAAGATTCGCCTAATAAAAATTGTTCACGAACCATTCAAAAACCGTCCAGAGTTGTCTAAGAAGCTTCCCTAAAAATAAAGAAATAAGGATCGTTAGTAATATTCCTAAAACTATTATTAAAAAAAATTTTTTTTAAAAAATATTGTTTATCTCAAAACAGCACCTTAATGAACAAAGGTAAGTTCATTTTTTTTTTTTTTTGAATGATTATTACTGAAACTTATTGGAACTTATTTCCTTTTTTCCTCTATAAGACTGACAGATCGATCGATTCAAAATCTACTGAAATCTATAAAAGGTAAAAAATATTTATTTATTTAATTAAAAATTCATTAATGTCATCTTTCTTTTTAATTAATAACCAATTATTAATAATCTCTTTCCCTTTGTAGGATTTACCTCCAATCAATCCAAGGCTTGATGAGGATTTTTTGATCGCATCATGAAAAGATTCCTGAAAGAATCAAATCTGAATCAACGTCCCCTTCACATATGGTATTTACGTGAAGTTCAAGAAATAATGCTATACTACAGATAATTTGGCAGCCACGTATGAATCAACTCAGAAAAGTATTTCCGCTTTAAATGTTGTCTTGCCACAAATCCCATAATGATTAAAATGGAATTTTCAGAAGGTGTGTATTTATGTAAGCATGAAATTAAAGCAGATAACGAATACCTCAAGTAAGAAATATTATAATCTTATTAATTAAAAAAAATATAATTAATATCATAACGTAGGACTCTAATCGATCTAAGGCTTGATGAAATTTTTCAATATTTATAAAAATGCACGAAATGGTATATTTTTTAATTACAAAAATTAATTAATACCTCTTCCACTTCGTAGAACTCTAATCAATCCAAGACTTAATGAGGGTTTCTAGTATCTATAAAAAATAAAAATAAGAAATATTAATAGTTTATATTTAATTTTAAAAAAAAATTTACTAACACTCTTTTTTCTTCGTAAAATTTATTTCGATCAATCCAAAGGTTTCTGAAATTTATAAAAAGATAAGAAATAAGACATTAATAATTTATATTTTAATTTAGAAAAAAAATCATTAACATCCTTTTCTTCTATAGAACTTACCTCTAATCGACTTGCGGATGCTTGTAAATATTATGAAAATATATTAGATTTTAAACATTTCATAAATTATATTAAATTTATATTTAGCTAATAATTTTTATTAAAGTATGTTATGTATAACAAATAGTAAAAAATAAAGCCTAATTAAATTCAGACAAAGTAAATATAAAATCTGGTTTTTCTAATTCTCTTATAAAGAGGTCACGCAAATTCTACTTCGCACTTTCATTAATAGTAGGATAATATATGAACTTAATAAATTATTATTAGATTCATTATTATCCATTAATTCATCGGTAAATTATACATTTTTTTCTTCATCTAACAATTCATATCATTCCTTTAATTTCTCCTCCCAATCTTGCTCAGTAGTTATATAACCAGCTGTATTTTGATCTTCAAGTTCCTCTTGAAT